TGGCCCATAAAGAAGACTGAGCACCGAAGAATTGAAGCTTTTGAACTGTGGTGCTAGAGAATTTTCTTGAGAGTCTTTTGGACTGCAAGAAGGTCAAATCAGTCAGTGCTAGAGAAAATCAGTCCTGAATATTGATTGGAAGGACTGATGCTAAAGCTGAAGTTCCAATCCTTTGGCCACCTGATGCAAATAGGCAATTCACTGGAAAAGACACTGATGCTGGGAAAGATTGAGGGCAGGAGGAGAAGGGGACGACAGATGATGAAATAGTTGGATGGCATCATCAACTCCATGGAAATGAGTTTGAGCAAACTCTGGGAGATAGTGAAGGCCAGGGAAGCCTGGCATGTTGCAGTTCATGGATGAGGTCATAAAGAATTGGATAGAACTTAGCAACTAAACAACAATAGCTACAGACTTAAGGTAATAATTGATAGTAATAATCTGATTTCACTAGAAAACATCACAAAATATAAAGCTAATGGAATAGGTTGAGTTTGATACTTGGAAAATGTATTATCATTTTTCATGTAAATATTAGTTTCACACACATTTCTCAAATGAAAAAATCTGTTCTAACACATGAGCCCTGCTGTGCAATGTGTTGTCTCACGAAGTAAACCAAGAAAAAAGCCCACATAATCAAGCACAGATGAAAGGAAAACATTTAAAATAGATGATACAAGTATAACAACATGATTTCAAATAGCAAAAACTAAGGGGAAAGGGTGGACCAAGAGACAACATGCGTGCCTATGTGTAGAGAGGAGGCAGAGAAATGATGACTGTTGATGTAAGAGAAGTAGGTTAGCAGCTGACATATAGACTGTTGCTATTTAGTCACTAAGTTGTGTCTGACTCTTTGTGACCTCATGGACTGCAGCCCATGGCTCCTCTGTCCATGGGATTTCCCCAGGCAATAATACTGGAGTGAGTTGCTATTTCCCTCTCCAGGGGATCTTCCTGACCCGGGGATCTTCCTGACCCAGGGTTCAAACCCACATCTCCTATGTCTCTCACACTGGCAGGTGGATTCTTTACCACTGAGCCACCTGGGGAGCCCGAGATTATGAATTATAAAATGAGTTATTTTAAAATTCTTAAAATACACTTACTCCATACTTAAGAAATAGCATGATAATTCATTTATGTTTTTAAAAGTATAACTTTGTTGGTATACTTGAGCTGAAGGGAAGAAATCTAAGAAGCCCACTTGGTTTACTTTCCCTCCCATTCCAGGTTTAGGCAGTGGTGGTAGTTCAGTAACTAAGTCGTGTCTGACTCTTGCGACCCCATGGACCCCCCGCCAGGCTTCTCTGCCCATGGGATTCTCCAGGCAAGAATACTGGGATGGGTTGCCATTTCCTTCTCCATCTGAGAACAGACCAGGATGAGGTCAGAGGGACATCTCTTCTAGAAAGACTGGGGGGCTCAGTGCCATGCAATGCCAATAGTGGAGAGATTGTGATTCTCCAGTTTCTGTTGAGAATGACATTAAGTGAAGCATAGGAGTTGGCTTGTCTTTAAGAAAGCAGTTTGATTAGTCATGATACAGAGAACCAGGTCCAGGTTCTTGCCTACTTCTTCCTCTGGTCTTCTCTATAACTGAAAGGAAACTAGCTACCACTTAGAAATGTGGAAATAAGGAAAATTCATAAAATAGCTTCTGCTCTTCATATGAATAGAAAATAACTTGCACCTTATCTTCTCTCTGTATTTACCATGTTTAAAGTGGGGAAATTTTCATATTTTATAATGATGATACATTTAAAAAGGAAATAATATCTAAATGACCACACAGAGAGTAAACATTTAAAAGATCAACTTACTTTCCTACAAAATAAACAACTAAAAGCAATGACAAAGGAATAATCCTCAAGCAGAGAAACCCATACTTGAATATATGAATGTCTGTCTATGTAAGGAAAGGCATAGAAGAAAATAGAGAAAGATTACTTGCTCAAAAATTTGGAGAAAAATGTTATTAAACCTCAATAATTCAAACCTCATTCAAATGGAATTAACAGAACTTTAAACTCTATCAGTTAATAACAAAAAAATAAAATTTAGTGGTAGGAAAACATACTTTCTTTAAAAAAAAAAAAAGCAAATGATGCTCAAGTTAAAAACCATTTAGCAGGGGAGAGGGGTCAAGATGGTGAAACAGGAGGATGTGGAATTCACCTCTTCCCACGAATGCATCAAGAATGAACAGAATTTTGGACTCTGTGGGAGAAGGCAAGGGTGGGATGTTTCGAGAGAACAGCATTGAAACATGTATATTATCTAGGGTGAAAGAGATCACCAGCCCAGGCTGGATGCATGAGACAAGTGCTCGGGCCTGGTGCACTGGGAAGACCCAGAGGAATCAGGTGGAGAGGGAGGTGGGAGGGGGGATCGGGATGGGGAATACTTGTAAATCCATGGCTGATTCATGTCAATGTATGACAAAAACAACTACAATATTGTAAAGTAATTAGCTTCCAACTAACAAAAATAAATGAAAAAAAAAAAAGAATACATCAGGGTTTCCTCGGTGTCTCAGTGGTAAAGAACCCACTTGCCAGTGCAGGAGACACGGGTTAGATCCCTGATCCAGGAAGATCCCACATGCTGTGGAGCAACTAAGCCTGTGCTCTAGAGCCTGGGGGCCACAACTCCTGAAGCCCACGTGCCCCAGGGCCCGTGCTCCACAAGGGAAGCCGCTGCAGTGAGTAGCCCATGCACTGAAACTAGAGAGTAGCCGTCGCTCTCTGCAACTAGAGTAAAGGTCGTGTGAAGACCCAGCACAGCCAAGAATTAATTAATTAATTAATAAAAAAAAGAACACATCTACTAACAGAGCAGATCTCACAGAGCACTTGCTGAACACTACCGGAGGACCTTGGGCACCTGAAATAACAAGAAAACCCCCACACAACTAGGTAGGACAAAAGAAAGACAAATAGAAATAAGGCAATGGGATAAAGTCTTGCACCTCTGGAGGGAAGCTGAAGGAAAGGAAAGGTTCCTGCAACTGGGGAAGCCCTCTCACCAGTGGGGAGATCAACTGGGACAGAAAAGGAGCTTCAGGGGCTCAGAGAGGGCGGCGACCCGTCTGTGGCAGGCAGGACGGCATAAGACCTACCCGGGAGGTAAGTGCCGGAGCTGTCTGGCCTCAGCCTGAGACGTGTGTTTGCTGGTGCAGAGCGGGGGTTGGGTGCTGGAATGTAGGGTCTGGAGAGCAGACCCAGTGAGGGGACAGCTGCTGGCTGTAAAGAGACAGCCTGAGGAATGAGGAAGAAACTCCACAACTGGCAATGTCTGTGGAAAAGCCTGGGTCACCACAGCCACAGGGTGCCATTGTTGAATGGCCCGCAGCAGCGGGGCTACCACTGCAGCCCTCATCCCCACGGGCTGGTCCCTGCCTCCACGGGCACTGGGAGGGGCACTCACCTGGGTAGCTCACATGCCCCACCCATCGCTGCCTCTCTCTGCCCACCTGGGCAGGCATGCATTCCAAGGCAGCCTTGGAAGTAGATGCTGGTGGGAGACACACATGCAAAAGTGGGGCTGAAACTACAGCTGAGATCCAGGGGCCCTGTGACCAAGGAGGAAGAGCTGAAATCTCTCCATGGACTTACACCCCCACTGCTGGCTTTGGAAACTCAGTGACTGTGGGATATTTGAACAGATAAATGCTCCCATAGCTGAGACAGGTGTAGGTTTAGGGCTTATGGGCTTTGCGGGCATAGACATGCCAGGATTCTGTTCTCTGCTCAGACACTCAGTTGTGTCTGACCAGGCAAAAATCTAAGCTGCCTCCACAGCCCCTACCGTGGGTCCAGATGCATGGTTACTACAGTCCTGGGACCTGACTGATGGATATGCACAGATGGTCCAGTGAAAACAATGCCTGAGAGACACCAGGGCCAACTGCCAGCATACCCACAGGTACAGTAGGGCTGAGAGCAGTGCCACCAACAGTGTGATTTGTGAGCCAGCACGGGGTGTGAAAAGTGACACAACAGAGCACACCCACAGGTGAACATCTCCAAAAGAGGAACAGCTCCAGTGGCTTCCCTTCCAGAGGGAGTGTTCAACCCCACCCACCTCACATCACAGGAGAGAAACATGGCTAAGATACAGATCTGGAAGTCTCTACTCCAACCACTGGGGAGCCAACCCCACCTCTAACAGGGCAGCGACAATCACACAGCAGAGAGGAGGCCCTGCTCAGTACCTGGTGCAGGCTCTGGTCACCACAGTATCAATCCCACTGTTATCAAGGGGATGAAGATCGGAATACATGGAGAAAAGGGGTGGCAGACATCCATTGCAAAAACAGCCCTCACATAAAAAAAAGAAATCAAACCCATATAAGCTAACAGAGAAGGTTCCACATAAAAATAGCCCTCTAAGAGAATCTATTGTTGTTGTTTAGTCACTGAGTCTTGATGACTCTTTGCGACCCCATGGACTGTAGTCTGCCAGGCTCCTCTGTCCATGGGATTCTTCCCCACCCTGGGATCGAACTCACATCTCCTGTGTCTCCTGCATTGGAAGGCAGATTCTTTACCACTGTACCATCCTGGAAGTCCAGAGAGTCCAAGGGTCAAGCATCAGGAGGAAGAACCCCCAGAGGGAATGGCCACCCACTCCACTATTCTTGCCTGGAGAATCCCACGGACAGAGAAGCCTGGCGGGCTACAGTCATGGGGTCACAAAGAGTCAGACAGACTGAGTGACTAAGCGCAGCACAGCACATGCTCTAAAGAAGGTGGGAATAGCATCTGAGTAATAAAAGCACTGAAGCAATGGCAGTTCTTTTGGTAAAATGATTCTGACAAGGGAAGGTTTATTATTTTGCTTTAATTGAGGGTCAAGCTACTAAAACTGTGCAGTTAAAAAAACATAAATGCTGTAGGTTTACATTCTCTCAATCACAATAGAGGTGACTGAGGGTTTTATGGAGGCGGTAGTTTTGATGCTGACAAAACTCTATGTAATGAAAAGATTACCTGTCCCAGAGACCGCCAGTCCAAACCGGCACTGCCGATGTAAACATGCTGTTTGTCCACGATCCAGAAGGAGGACTGCAGTCGGCCCTTGTTGTAGGCAGTCATGTTCATGTAGGTCACCTCAGCTCCTAGGAGTTTAAGGAAATCCCAGTCAGCCTCTGTGTCAGGGCCTTGAACGTGCAGTCACCTACCCGCAGCAACACTCACGGTCTGCATCCACCACAGCTGGTACTCAAGGAAGCCACACATTTACATTAGTTTAGTTCACGGAGGACCCCAGAGAAGCTACTTTATTCCCAAAAAAGATTCTTTACCAGATTCTTTACCTGGCTCTTTAGCTGAGCCACAAGGGAAGCCCAAGAATATTGGTGTGGGCAGCCTAGTGAATCTTCCCAACCCAGGAATCGAACCGGGGTCTCCTGCATTGCAGGTGGATTCTTTACTAACTGAGCTATCAGGGATGGCCTCCCCTGGCCCCACTCCCGCCAAAACACACACATGGCTTCATTTCAGGATACAGAAAGAAAGAGTGATTTACACTATAAACTTAACCTATAACTCTTGGGGAAATGTTAAGTATGCATCTGGGTTCTTGTGGCAGGAAGAAGAAAGAGAAACCAGGAAGCTGGGAGAGGATCTGAGGTGAAGAAAGCATGCAGGAAGATTTTCTCTGTGGGTGGAGCAAACTCATTATCCTAGATAAGTACAGGCACATGTTCCTTAGCCTTCAGCCGTCCTGGAATAGTAACATCCCAGAGGACGAACAGTTGGGAAAGGCGGAATCTGAATGTCCAAAATGGGGAGTTACCATGGCAATCATGGAGAGACCCAAATCTGCATGGAGGGTGTGATACCCCCAGAGGCAGTTGCCAGTGCTCCTAAGTGGATGAAGAGCAGCGTTCGTCTTTGGAGAGTGTTACTTTCTTAGGGCTGCCATGACAAAGTACCACAAACTGAGTGTCTTAAAACAACAGAAACTTATTCTTTCTTAGTTCTAGAGATTAGAAGTTCAAGATGTCAGCAGGGCCATGCTCCCTCTGAAACCTGTGGAGGAGAATCCTTTCTTGCTTCTTCCCAGCTCCTTGTGGTGGCCATCAATATTTGGCATTCCTTGGCTTACAGATGTATCACCCCAATCTTCCCACCTCTGTTGCCACATGACATCTTCTCCCTATGTGTCTCTGTCTTCTCCTCTTCTTATAGTGACACCAATAATGCTGGATTAAGGGCTCGCCCTGCTACAGCATGACCCTATCTTAATTAATTATATCTGCAAAACCCCTATTTCTAAATAAGTTCATAATTGGAGGTTCAGGGCGGGGTAGGTCTTCAACTTGTCTTTGGGGAGACACAACTCAATCTGTAACAGAGATCTTGGCCAGTTTAAATGGCTGTGGCCTTCAATAGCACTAGACTGACCAGCACTAATGGAACCATTTTCTCATCTCTGGAGGAAGAGGATCAAAGTGACCTTGGGTTTGCTGCAGAAAAAAGAATAAGAATAAAAAGAATGGAGGACCATTTACAAGCCATCAAGAACAACATCAAGCATGCTAATAGTCATACAATAGGACTCCCATAAGGAGAAGGGAGAGAGAGAAAGGGGAAGAGAACATATTTGAAGACGTAATAGCTGAAAACTTCTCTAACCTGGGGAAGGTAACAGATATCTAGGTCCAGGAAGCACAGAGAGTCCCAAACAGGATCAACGCTAAGAAGATCATACCAAGACAAGTTGTAATTAAAATGTCAAAAGTTAAAGATAGAAAATTAAAAGCAGCAAGGGAAAAGCAATGAATTACCTACAAAGGAACACCCATGAGGCTCTCAGCTGAATTTTCAGCAGAAATCTGTAGTTCAGAAGGGAACTGCACAATATATTTAAAGAGAAGAAAGAGGAAAACCTACAACTAAGAATATCTGACAAGGCTTTCATTCAGATTTGATGAAGAAATCAAAAGTTTTACAAACAAACAAAAGCTAGCACCACTAAAGCAGCTTTACAGTGAAAGGTTAAAGGGACCAGAAACATGGAAATTATGAAAGGAAAAAGAAAAACTTCATTGGTAAAGGAAAATATACAGTAAAAGTAGTAAATCAGTGATGTATAAAGGTAGTAGGAAGGATAAAAGACAAAAGCAGGGAGAATTGAACGAAGGCAACTGAAATGTACAAAGTTCCATTTATAAGATAAAGAAGCACTATGATGTATAACATAATAAATATGATTAACAATGCTATATGTTAGAGGTGAAAGTTTTTAAAAGAGTAAATCCTTAGAGTTCTCATCACAAATTTTTTTCTATTTCTTTAATTCTGTATCTATATGAGAAGATAGACATTTAGTAAACTTACTGTGATGAACATTTCATGCTGTACATAAGTCAAATCCACCTTAAAGATATAGTACTGTGTGTCAATATGTCAATAAAACTGGAAGAAATAAAAACAAACTCAAGCATATCAAATAAAGTGTAAAATTTAAATTGATCAGGATCTGCTTCATCGCCGTTGTTCAGATGGCAAGAGGGTATTGAATATCTGAAAGATCAGAAAGGTGTGACCCGTCACTCTACTAAGGAACCCCAAGTGAAGGTTGAGAGCTTGGAAGACAGTGATGGCTCTACTAAGGTCAGAGCTACAAGGCCAATGGAGCTGTGTGTAGAGATCAAGCAATATATAATAATAACAGTAACTCCCACTTACTGAACACCTCTCTGTGACCAGGGTGAAGACAGCTATGTTACAACATATGGTATATCATTTTTCCCCCTACAAATTACTTGGTGTAAGAAAACTCACTGAAAATATTTGATGATATACCTGGAAAACTATTTGCCTACATATGGTTTTGAAATATCACTTTTTTTAAAGAACTATTTATTTTTTTCTATCTAAATCTAATTCCCATCTATTTCTGAAGATAATGCTTTATCTTAATTTATACCTTAATTTAGATACTATATTTATATAATTTATATGTTTACAANTGACTGAGCGACTGAACTGAACTGTTCCTCATTTTATTATGAACATATTATTCAATATTTTACTTACAAGAATTTATTTTACATGTACTTCTAAACTATCTTTTGTATTGGTTATGTAAATTCTCCTCATTCTACTGTCTTTTTGGGCTTCCCTGGTGACTCAGTGGTAAAGAATCTGCCTGCCAAGCAAGAGACATCTCTGGGTCAGGAAGATCCCCTGGAGAAGGGCGTGGCTACCCACTCCAGGTATTCTTGTTTGGAGAATCCCATGGATAGAGGAGCCTAGTGGGCTACAGCCCATAGACTTGCAGAGTCAGACATGACTGAAGTGACTGAGCACGCATGTACACATGCACGTATCTTTTTTATATCTAGCATTTCTCTCTGTCTCTGTCTCTTTCATGAAAGGGAATATGGATATGTCTTTAATTGATGCTACATGTGGTTGAGAGGTACATCCTTTCTTTTTGGCCAATACCCTCTTCTTAGAGTGCTAAGTGCACTCACATGATGCAAAATGGAAAGGTCTAGGTACTATCATAGGTATTATGTATATCAGTTTAGTCTCTATTTTGCCACAGCTGGATGAACCAAATGCAGACACCTGAACTATGATGACCAATAAGATTTCTTCTTTTGAGAATCCAATATTGAGTCACAAAAAAATCAAGGCAAAGAAGCTATGCTGGAGTCATAAACACACAGAGGATGCCATGACTGTCCGAGTCCACATAAATGAAGGGTAGGAGAAGGCAAGCATCAGAGACAGTGTGAAAGAACCAGTCACATGGGGAAAAGAGATAAAAAGACAATGTGTTCCCAGGACAGGAAAATGGAGGTGGGGGGGCAGTCTTTGCCAGCCTTGTATCCTCAGACCAGTTCAGCTTCAGACCTTGAGTTTCTCTAAATCTTTAGAATAAATTAATTGTTATTTAAACTGGGTTTGGAGGGGTTATGTTTCTTTACTAACTTATTCTTATGGTATGAATCAGATAAAACTGTACTTTATTTTGTGCACATAGAAGTCCTACAACTTCTATATGTATATTTTTAATATTAGACTAAAAAATTCAGTTCTGGGCTAAAAATTATGCAATTTTTAGCAATGAGCCAGTTGCTAAAAATTGCATGACTAAATATTTCAAATTTAAAATAAACATCCTGTCAAAATACTCTTCATGATGACACAAAAGGAAATATGTTAGTACATTGTGATTAAAAATGGAAAATAAAGCTCTACATTCCCTTTTGTGATCATGAAAGAAAATCAAACAAAGCTTTCTCTAAGTTTACTTCTAGAAAGTCACCTGTTCAAAGCATATCACTAGAGCTTTAGTAAATTTTATGATATATCATTTATATATTCAAGAGAATATATGTAACTTATAAGAAAATTATGTAGCTCTATTACAAATGGACATTGGTGAATTCCCCTTCTTATTAAAAATAAAAATTAAAAGTTTATTACTCTGATTAAAGCAGTGCTTCCCACCCTGTGATGATTCTGATCCCTTTCCCCCATGAAACCTGTGGCAAAAACTGGAGACAATTTGGGTTGTCAAAACTGGTTAGAGGAACACTATTAACTTCCAGTGGGGAGAGTTCAGGGATGTGGCTAAATACCTGGCAATACACTAGGCAGTCTCACACAAAAAAGACTTATCCTGCCCAAAATATTGACAGTCTCACAAGTGAGATATCCTGCATTAAAGTTTATGCTTGAACCCATATCTCCACCGCTTTTCTCTGATACAACTATGATCCTGAATTTAGTGTTTACCATTGTCTTATTTTTAAATATTTTATCCCATGTTAATGTATCCCTAATAGCATTATAAAAATGAGTTTATCACCAGCTTTTGAACACAGATAGTTAATGAACCTTAAGCATATATCAAAGGGAAATGTATCAGTATTAGTAATTATAGATTTCTGGAAAGGCTTATAGATGTTTCCTGAAAGCAAAGTTTGCAGCAGAAATCTATCTTACCAATCAAGTGTCTCTTCTTCTGAATGTATTGATTTGTGTGAGCAATGAAAAAGGTCATAGCCTATTCTTGGGAGCTTTAATAAAACCAGTACAGTTTCATCAATTTAATCAGCAACATTTTGGAATCCATTGGCCTGAAGGTTAAAGGGAACACCAAAGGGTAAAAATCA